GCTGTGGTGTTTTCTGAAATGCTGTGGTGTTTTCTGAAATGCTGTGGTGTTTTCTGAAATGCTGTGGTGTTTTCTGAAATGCTGTTGTGTTTTGTGAAATGCTGTGGCGTTTTGTGAAATGCTGTTGTGTTTTGTGAAATGCTGTTGTGTTTTGTGAAATGCTGTTGTGTTTTGTGAAATGCTGTGGTGTCTTCTGAAACGCTGCGGCGTTTTGTGAAATGCTGTGGCGTTTTGTGAAATGCTGTTGCGTTTTCTGAAATGCTGTAGCGTTTTTTGAAATGCTGTTGTGTTTTCTGAAATGCTGTAGTGTTTTCTGAAATGCTGTGGTGTTTTCTGAAATGCTGTGGTGTTTTCTGAAATGCTGTGGTGTTTTCTGAAATGCTGTTGTGTTTTGTGAAATGCTGTGGTGTCTTGCACTTCCGGGCCACCGTAGTACTGGGCACCCCTGCACTACAGGAAGAATACAGGGAGGCGTGTGGCGCAGTGAATAGAGCCTTGGTGTTGGGATCAGGGGGTTCAAACCCCACTGCAGTCAGCATGTCGTTGTGTCCCTGGGCAAGACACTTCACCCAAATTGCTCCTGTGGGGATTGTCCACAGTATTGAGTATGCAAGTCGCTTTGGATAAAAGCGTCTAACAAGTAGCATGTAATGTAATGTAAAATAAGAGGTCCCCATTAAGTAAAATAGTATAGTGTAGTTATAATATGGTACAAGCAAAGTCCTGCTTTCCAACTTTTAGTTAGTACGTACACAAATATTAGCATCAAAATACACTTTAAAGTACGAAAGATAGAAAGTAATTATGTGCCCCAACACCCCACTTCAGAAATGTTATATTATATCACCAATATCCATTTGCATTCAAATATGAACTGATTCGTTTTTCGGAATCAAAGGTCATTGTCACTGTGACCTTAAAAAAACACGTTTCTGACTATAACTCAAGAATTCACATGCTAGTTTTAACAATTTCATACGTAAAATTCTGAAACAATCAAAACTGTTCTATGAACTTATTACACTCATAGCATACATCGATAAGAAACACAATCTGCTCTGGATTTATTAAACTAATGTAAAAATGTTGCGTGTTGTAGCTTTAAAAGCAAGACAGGGAGTGTGAGATAAATAAAAGGCCGACAGGCTGCTTTTTTTCTTTGCTTGAAGACACCTCAAGGACATCAAAACACGAGGCTGTGTGGGCCTCAGAATCACAAGTGCGGAGACGGACAGGAAGCACTATGCAGGCGAGAATTAAGTATGTACTGCCATAGCAACTCCATATCTATACAACAAATCTCAAGTCTGATTAAATTATTCATAACCGTGCTGCAGCAGGACTCATCTCAGTCCTTTAGAAACATGAACTAACAAAACTGATCCAAGTGGATCCACAGTTATTGATATCCCATCTTTAGGATCAGAGATGTTAAACATTTGCAGCCATGAGGACATAAATAAGTAATGAGAGCAGCTGCAGAACTTACCTACAGTCAAACAGTTTAAAGGTCAGTGCACCCAAAATCAATCATCAATCAATCAATCACATATATATATATAGAGCACATTTAAAAACAACCGACGCTGACCAAAGTGCTGTACAGAACAGAGCATTTCATAAAAAATAAAAATAAAAAAAACGTTGACGTAAACATTAAAGGTCCCCTATTAAACTATTTTTCATCAATATATTACAGGTCTCAGATATATACAAAACATGTCTCTGAAGTGTTTGGCTCCAAACACCAAACAGATCATTGTAGCATCCCATAATCCCCTCTGTGTTAGCCCTGTTTCAAAAGTGCTGATTCTCTGTCTGTTACTTTAGATGAAAATAAGGAGCCACTCCCCACGCCCCTCTGAGAGATATTTGGTTAAAAAGAACTCAATGGTGCTCTAGGAGGAGATTCAGGTGATAAGGTGGGGGGGTTACTGGCTGGTTATTGGCTAGACGCTAGTGGTTACACAACCCAAAAAAACATGACATCATAAAGTGGCAAAAATCTGATCAGCTCATTTTCAGACAGGTTTTTATATAAATGGATCAGGTCCAAAAGAGAGCAAATCTTTTTTCCAGAAACTTTCAGAATCTCTTTACACAGAGGAGACACATGTTTATGTAAAAAAAGACAGGGAAAAGCGGATTTTGCATAATAGGTGACCTTTAATCACACAGCTCATATGCACAAATAAACAAATACAAAGGCACTATCAGCCAGATAAGGAGTCAAACGCCAGAGAATACAATTACGTTTTTTGCCTGGATTTAAAGTAGTCAATGGAGGGGGCCGATCTGATAGAGAGGGGGATGCTGTACCACAGTCTTGGGGCTGCAATAGAAAAGGCGTTGGAAAACTGTTTACCAAACAGGAAGTATATTTGTTTGAGCTGTCTGCTATAACCCATCTGAATACAGAATCATTAACCAGAATAAGAAAACGATGATAACAGATAACAGATGAGAACCCAAGTTTCTAATTTGCATGAATTAAGCATGCACAAACAGTAGTTAGCAACATTTTTACCTGTAGCGCAGCTGTGGCTCATGAGGTAGATGGTCACTCCAATTGTAAGGTCAGTGGTTCGATTCCAAACCCCAGCAGTCAACAAGTCGCAACTTAAACTCAAATTGGTTTATCAATTCACTGGTGTAAATGTTTGTCAATGTACGTTTTTCTAAGCAGGTGGCCTCTGTATAAATGTGTGTGAATGGGTATATCTGACTACCAGAGTTGGGTACTGTAATAATATTACTTTTGTCGGTAACGGAGTAGTGTAACGCGTTACTTTTATAATTCAGTAATCACACTACAGTTACTAACATTGCCCCGACACGCGTTACTTCGTTACTTTTATAAAATCAGTCATAATCACACTGACAGACAAGAGGGGTTTCCGCCGCAGGTTTATATGTACGTAATCTGCGCGATTTGCGCGTCCACATCTCCACGTGCAGTGCTGCATAAACATGGCGATAACTTTCGAGGGGTGGAGGTATGCCCATTATTTTGAGTTCGTCCGAAGAATAGACAGGAATGTGACGGTGAGGTGCAAACTGTGTCCAGGCCAGAAGCTGTTATCCACTGCTGCAAACACCACGTCAAACCTCAACAAACACCTGCAAAGAACACATGCTAAGGTGAAGCTAATAGCTAAGGACCGGACCCCCGAACCCAGAGTGAGGATGTTGTGAGTCGCCGCCGCCGACTCCGAAGCGGCACAAATTAGAATTTGGAGGACCGGTAACCAAAGTAGAGATGGACAGGCTTGTAGCATCCTTCATAGTAGAGGTAATGTTCTCCATTTGCACAGTGGAATCACCATCGCATCGTTCAGAGATATACTGCGCAAAATACAGATAGCAGGAGACAGAGGACAGCCATAGTCAGAGCTATCTGGATCAGTCTTATGCGACAATGGAAACTGAACTAAAGAGAACATTTGAAACTTTAGCAGTCTGCGTGATCTGCCTGTAGGGAGGGGCGGGCCGGCCCTGCGAGTAAAGTAACGAGTAAAGTAACGAGTTACTTTATGTAGAGAGTAACGAAGTAGTGTAATATATTACTTTTTTTTAAAGTAATATGTAATATGTAATATATTTCTTTTTTTTAGTAACGACCCCATCTCTGCTGACTACCATATCAAAAAGCACTTTGAGGGGTTGGAGAGACTCAGAAAGTGCTGTATAAATGCAGTCCATTTACCATTTTCCCTTCCCATTTAAATCGTGTGGAGTACCTGAAACCAAAATTAAAACGGTGTATGTAAAAACCAAATATAGGATACAACCACAACCTGTTTTCCAACAAAATGTGGTTTTATCTTTTATTTGATTTATTCATATCTTGGCCTGACATTTTAAAAGGTTATATTATTCTGGAATACAGTGGTATTCAAGTACTTGCAAATGTTACTTTATTATAAGTAGCTGTACTACAGTGTAAAAATACTCTTAAATCTTACTTAAGTAGAAGTATTAACTAAATAAACTTAAAGTACAAGTTAAAATATTTATTATGCTTCATTTCACAATGTAGAAATGTAATTATTGAATCATTGTGTAATCATAGGAACTTCGTAGGAACTTTACAGCTGGTAAGGATATTTGCAACTACATTATATAATGCTGGGTAGTTTGAGTAACTGTACTTAGTTACATTCCACCAGTTTTAAGAAAAGTATTTAAATTGAGTTTTGTAGATGTAAGCCCTAAATTGTTTTCAAGAAAATCATGTGGACATATATCTGAGGAATACACTTTGAAACCCATGAAAGATAACTAGTTCCCCTTTTTTAACCAAAGTGAAGTTCTGAGAAGTGTAAACCTGTGAAGAGGAAGTATGGCTGCAGACTACAGCTGACCTCTGGGTCAGCAAGAACAAAAAAGAAGCAGCATCAGGGAAACTGTGCAGGTCTCTCTCTTTTAAACTAATTACCTGACAGTCTGCCAGCCTCTCTGCCGGAGACCCACACATCAGCAGGGCAACAAGTGAATTTCACGCTCCACTGATTGTTCTATACTTTAAGGGCAATTTCTGACATATTTCCTGCCAGGCCTGTAATATTTAATCAGACGTTTGGCCTCTGTGCTGAACTGACAAAGTTCATTTTATCCTCTTTTACAGGAATCGCACAACCGCCCCAGATAAGTTCCTCTTTTTTTTTTGCTCTGTACTTCTGCAACACAATGTTTGTTTTCATAATGTGTCATGTTGTTGTGGCTTTTTCACACATTTACCGACTGTGAAATGGCTTTCACATTGACCTTTGCTCTATTTTAAATGTATCAAAATGACCTAAAAGATATTAGATATTTTTTAAATGTTAGACAATTTGCTCAACACTTTAGTTATTATAAAAAAGATGCAAAAAAAGGTGACATATTCAAACTCTTCTGAAGATTAAATACAAGGTAGTATATGCTTTTAAATAAATATTCACAGTTTACTTTCCAATACCTTTACAAAACAGTTGCTAAAATTCACAACTTCACACATCCACAACTTAATGCCAATTTATTGTGATATCTGATAGTTTACATTAGAGTGAAAACAGACATGTGACATGGCTTTACTAAGACAGAATGCAAAGCAATGTAGTCAAATGAAAATCATAATCATAGTTTTGTTTTGAATTTAGGAAAAAAATAAAATAAAACAGGCACAACATATAGCCATTATAAATACAACATGCTTTAGACCTTAAACTGTGGTTTAAAAGCCCTAAGAAAATAACTTGTACAGTCTTTTCCCCTGTATACCAATCTTGCCTTTGATTACGCTTTAGGTACAGATATAGAAAGTAACAGAGCTCATGAAGTTGGTAACCAGTGTCACAATAAAACAAAAATAACAATAAAAAGTAAACAGTTTTTCAGCAGCAAATATTAACATTTTCATCCAGGCTGCTTTGACACTGTTGTGTTCAGAGAATCAAAACATTCTACCGAAAGACAATGTCATACGAGACAGGATTTCTCCTCTTTCATTTTGGTATAGAATTTAAATCTCCAGGAGACGCTCGACCCCTGACTTCCTTCCCGCCATTAACACATGACACTGATGCATTCGGTAGAACCTGGGTCTTTTTGGTACACACCGGCGGTGACACTGGCAACTGCTTTTTGTTGATTCAACTTAAACTGACTGAGCGCAGGGCGAGTAAAGAGGCTCTGCGAGCAACCACTGCTGGCGCCAATGTGGAGGTCCGTTGGAGGAACTGGCTCTGTGCATGGAACAGCTAACAAGTCCATTCAGTTACCATATAGGCAGACATGAATGGTCTGGTAAGGTAGTTTTTGTTTGTTTGTAGAAAAATGTATCTACCAGTGTCATTGGAAAAGGTTCATAAAGTTATAAATCTAAACCAAGGGCTGGATTTAGACATTTTCTGATATGAGTCTGATGTAGGTTGAACAGCTTTAACTCGTTTGCTTAGGTAGATCATGATATATGATCAGACTCTTGACAAACAGACAGCCAAACCTGAACTTTCAGTCTCAGTAGTTTTCAAGTGTATCACCATGAAATGGCCCACAAAGTGGTGAATACCAGAGTTCATGAAATGTAGCCATTTAACTAGCACTGATTAAAACAAGAACACAAATATCAATGAGATCCCTTCGTAATCGCTTAAATGCACCATTAAAAGAGAAACATAACACCAGGCTGAGGAGTTTTGATTGAATGCTGCTCTGTTTGAAGGTTCTACACCCTGCTTCACTGATTAGTGTAGTCCGAAATGTACTCTGTTGCACCTTTTACTCAACCAGACACTGACGCCAAGGGGTAGCGACACACCCTCGGTGGCATCCATTGTTTTTGCAACATACTACTAAGCTAGCTAGCTAGCCAATTCCAACCTGCTAACATGCTACACTGGTTACAGAAATAAGCATCACCGCAGGTGGCTGGCCAGCGTTAGTTAAACGGACTCCGTTGGGAGCTGGCTAGCTCATTTATTTTTCAATATTCACATCATATACATTGCCTCATATCGCTATTTTCCGACTGCAGTGTCTCTAGGAACGCAGCCGCCATCTTGCGTCAAGGCGTTTTGTCAGTTAGCGTGCTTTCATCTAAAGTGAGTTGTAAAAACAATCGACGGCCCCTGAAGTAAACTTCTGAATCATGGCAGCCAGGTGAACATTTGAAACACTGACTGTTAGCCAAAACAGTTCCCCTTTTAAAGACATGTGCGCAGTGGAATGTGGAATACTGAGTGCTTTATTTGAAGAGTAGTTAAAAATAGTCCCACAACTGGGTGTAGCGACTGAGCTCCGATAGGTAAGAAGCTAACTTTATCAAAACAAGAAATCAAATATATCAGGGAAGTAACCATTCATTTTCGGTCACAACCAGCAAAATTAAGAAATACAATCAGATACATACAGCCAGCGGTGACAAAAGCTAAGAACCTCCAAAAAGGCCGCCAGAGGGTGCGTCTCATCCCCTGAAAGCCCTGTATACAGGAGACACTGACTGTAGTGGTGAAAGGGTCTCCCTGTGACACGGTGGGAGATTCCAGCTCGCCCCCCTATGTCCACACGGCTCAGCAGGGACCTTAACATCGGCCCCAACGGGCTCTCAACAAACAGGCTAAATAAACAAGCTAACAGAAAAGCAACATAAAACAATGATAAATCACTTCCAAACAAACTAACCTGGCTCTCGACCTCACGGATCACCGGGAGAGAAACCAAACAGCTGCGAAAGAAGGAAAACATCAGGACAAATAAAAACGCTTCCAAACCAAAAAAAGAGAAACAAATAAAGTGTCTGCGGAAAAGAAACTAAACATTCACCTTCGTGTGCAGGCCTGCATGCACACACACATAGACACACTCACACAGACACACACAGTCAGAGGTACAGTGAACAAAAGTGCTTCAAGTTGGGGAAGTAAAAGAACCAACCCAGTAGAAATACGTATAAAACCTTAAATATGTTAGTTTATGTACAAAAACTTTAACACGGGCCAATATCTCAGCTGTTTATGTCTTTAAATTTTCAAGTAGGTATAACCGCTGTATATTAAGGGTTTGCATTGTCATCGTTTTTTAGGATAAAAAGGTCATGTGATCTGACTGACCTTGCCGGCAAAGTAATCAATCACTGCTGATTTTTAAATTTCTCCCATCCCGCCCCGCCTCCACCTGCTGCCAACCTTTTTTGTTATCCTTACAATAAAAAGTCAAACAACAAGCCTAAGGCATCCCGCATGCTCCAAACCTCCTCCTCTATGCTTTACTCTGAGAAATATCCATCTGTTTTTGCACCTCTAAATCTTAATGTAGAAAATATAAGTGTTTATGTATAAGTTTCTGTTGTGAAAAGAAAAGAAAAAAAGATACATTTTATGAGGATCTATGTGAAAAACAATTCTTTTGAGGGCCACAGAAGGGGGAAGACACATCGTTCACACAAAGGATTTTTCAAGTTATGCACTGCACAACAGAAAAATAAGAGGGGAGGCTGTTCATGATTTGAAGAGGCACAAGATTCATACGGCTTAGAGGCAAATCACAAAGAGACAATTCATATGCTCTAAGAGAGAGAGACGGATAAGCATTTAAAGTGCAAAAAGACCTACAAGAGCGAGAAGGAAATGGCCGCATTTCTACGATAGCAGCAAAGAATCGGAAACTAAACTTTTCTCGAGAAAAACTAAGAGGAAAAGCATCAGTTGTTGATCTTATTGAAATAAAACCAAAACTTGTAGAAGCATCTAGCTTCAGTCGTAACGAAAAAACTACGAAAACACCTCAAACTGTCCAGGTCAAACTTTCTTTCCGTCTACAACAATCTGTCGTTCATCTGTGAGAAAGGCCGTTTAAAAAAACTAAAGTAGAAAAATACAGACAAGAGCGAACTAAAGTTTTGCCTCTAAACTGAGATGAACCAAAGGCCTCTGCAAAGTGCAAACGAAATAGCAACGTTCAAGTACGTCACTGTGTAATGCGTGACCACACACACAATGCATATACACAAAGTCATATGCATATATACATATGTGCACGACAGCAAGCATATTCAGAATCCATGTTCCAATATTTACGTACTATGAACAGTTTCATAGCATTTATGGATATGTAACCATAGTATGCGTGTATATATATATATATATATATATATATTCATATGTAGATGTCTCTCTGATTGTTTCATTACTAGACAATGGAATAATACAGTCCGCCTTAATGCTTTATGACATGTGGCCACTGATGTCAGGTTCCCCAGTCTAGAAACTATTTTCGCTCCTTTTAACTTGTGGTACTGCTGCAAAATGGGACCAGCCACAATCGCACTTAGCCAAACACTACAAATATTTAAATATCTATATATATATATATTTATAGTTATACATATCCATTTATGTCTAACACATCGGAGGTGCTGCTCCTTATGCTTTTTGGGTTCTGAGAAGTACCAGAAGGGGGGAGAAGTTAAGAAAATGAACAAGAAAGAAAAAAAGATAAAACAATAAAGATATATAAGGAATAACACCCCACACTACTGCATCCCATCCTTTGCCAATTTGTTCATCTTTTTTTTTTAAAAGCAAGATGCTGCTACATATTTGTAACTACAAAAGAACTCCCTTTCCCCACCCGTCCCTGATTGCTCATTTGGACATCAGCAAAGAAAAGCATGCTCAGCTAAAGGCAAAGAGACAAATAAAAACCAACAACAACAAAAAACACAACAGGACAGACTTGACAGGGAAATAAAATGCTAACCAGTAACACCCATCTGCTATCAAACCAAGTCCTTAGACCCAGAAGATAAAGATATAGTAAATAACATTAAAAATAAATCGTCACCCGTCTCGCTGGGTGAGCAACATAAAGAAAACAAACACATGTCCTCTCAGTGAAGTCTATCTCCATTCGCATAGTGGTCGCCATGACACCACAGTCACTTGTTAGCGTGGTTCGGTGAGGGGGGGGGGGTGAGAGTGAGGAAAGCAGACCCCAAAAATCCCGCTCTGTGAAGGAGAACACACACTCTTCAAAGTAATCACAGCACTCCAGTTGCTCCTCTGTCGCCATTTTGTCACTCTCACGATGGGCAGGTGGGTGTGTGTGCGTGTGAAAGAGGCGATGGGGTGGAGGTTCGTGGAGTTTTTCTTTTTAAGGGGGCTCGGGAGGGGGCAAGGTGGTCGATGGTCATCGCTCCATGCAGTTCACTAAAGAGCATTCCAAGGTCAGAGAGTGAGAAGAGGAGCATCACTCCCATCCGTTGTCTTTGATCATGTGTGCCAGCTCAATGATGAACTTTCCCTCTTTGTACTTTTGACTGCTCTCAAACGCGTGTTCCTGTAAAATAAAAACACACAGGAAAGGGACAAAGTTACAAGCAGTGGTGAGTACATATACTCAAGTACTGTACACATCTCAGGTACTTGAGTCTTCTTGTCATACCCTGTTTACTTCTGCTCCAATACATTTCCTATATATTGTTAATAGAGTACCCGTCAGTATACGTACAAGTAAAGCTGAAACATTAGTAGATTAATTCATTTGTTATTGGACAGAAAAATATGTCATACCATCTTCTAATGTGCAAAGACTTTCTGCTTTTTAATACTTGTCCATATAAAGTTTATTATAGCCCAATATCAAAAAGGGCTTGTACATTTTGCACACTGTGAAGGTGTGACTAAGGCATTTCTCACCATTTTAAAATATCAACAAACCAATTAATCAAAAGCAGCAGAAGCATGTATAATGATAAAAAAAAATAAGCAATGGAAGAGAATGGTGGTAAAGTATGGCTGTGAAAACGTGCACTTGTACTTGTGAAATGCTGTATTGTGAACACATCACCTGCCAAGGTGTGTTCCCTGAGGGTGGGTGAAGGGGGATCTTGTTAAAAATAAATAAAGAAGGATGCAAGGTAATACATGGGATGACCTGTGATTTACCATTCCTTATATTCCAAAACATTGAGAAAATAATAAATACTCACTAATCTGTAGAAGAAAACAAAGGAAATCACTCAACCTTAACAGACAGTAAAATCAAGCTTTCACATTAATGCAAAAGTAAAAATGATTTAATGATAATGATTGAAAGCTCAGAGGAAAACAAATATTAGGTAAGCCCCACAAAGGGAATTTAAAAAACAAAAAAGGTTTTAAATTAATTGACTTTAACATAACATAAAAAAGTTTGCAGTAACTAGGCAGTACATTTAATTTTGAGTCAAACAGGCAGAAAGAAAAATATGCACAGTCATTTATCTGGCCACATTATGCATTATTGTAGATAAACAGGACACGTTTCCTAGCTACCAAACCACCTCTTTCAAATGTCCTGACTCCATGTCTGAGAGCACATCCTGAAGTGCTGGATGAGTTCCGCTCAGCTCCAAGAGACTCATGTCCATGTGAGTCTGTCTCCTGGATTATTTGCTCAGCCTTATAAACCAGCTTTGCTCTGCTTTTGCTTGTGAGGCTTTCTTTAAGAGTCTAATTGTTTTTGTCACTGAAGGAGCAGCTTTAAGTGAGTCTCTGTCTTATCATTTGTTGAGTTATTTTCCTCCCTTCGATAGTCTCGTCAGACAGTTACCGGGACGAGCCTCTTCAAAATGGCTTGGTATTTAATCACTGTAGACTCTCAGAGGTACCAGTCTGGAGCCAACCTATAAGCACTGTAATTACCTCGACACTAGGAGACCACAGAGTGCTTAATCTCTATGCTTAAATATAACCCTGAGCAAATAAGACAAACTGTCACCGTGGTTTTAACAAGCAATGCTTTAACGAAAGAAACCGTGTTCCTTCGACCCTTTATAGCATCATTTGTCCCTTAGCAGGCCAGGAAGCCACAGAGTTGCCCAACAACACAGCGGCAGGCGTAAACGGTGCATCAATAAACATTTAGATGGGACAGGAAAAGAGCTGGGGTGAAAGTTGAAGGACTTACATATTTCCAGCCAAGGGTGGTTTTACAGTTTTCACAGTAGATGTCAGCCACAGCATGTAAACCTGTGAGGAGAACCCGCTCCTCAGCTGGCCCGCAGCCGACATTCACCCTGCAGGGGGGAGGGAGAGAGGGTCGTGGAGGTCAGAGAGAGCGGGAGAAGAGCAGCTAGAATCTTTCACTTAAAAGGTGCATCCTGTCAGACAGCGTTGTTCATCCTTTTTTGAACAGCGGTACACTTTTTACATTCAAAAACAAGCAAACTGTGCCCCATTGTAGCCTAGCCATTCAGCATATACAATTACAGTTTAATGACGAGTCTCTCAATTTGGCCACAAGTTCTGCTACAATGGAACTAGCTTTGAGAGCTCTCTGACACCTTTGTGGTTTTTATCATTATAGTTACCTGTTTCTCAGATAGATAATAGTCTGTGTTCTTTTTTTGAAGTGAAGGGTGTTTTGTTTGGAGATTAGTTTTCTAGCTGGCTTGAGACCACAGACTGTTGGATTGCATTTGCAGAAACCGTTTAAGTCAAATTGGACAATATCCCAAGGCACACCTGACGATCTCTCAGAGCACACAGGTGAACTACGGCACAGCTGTTGAAAATCACTGTTGTAAGATATGGTGAGTCTGACCATATGGGGGAAATAACCTTAATATTGCTATTGTAATGACATAAGATTGACTACTGTGGCTTCAATAAGATATTTACACAATGACATTTTTGATAAATAATCGTCTGCAATGTGGAAATTGTGTGTGTGTGTGTGTGTGTCTCATACTTACACTGAATTAAACAGATAGGCTCTTCCTTGACTGCCTTGAAATGACTGCAATGAGAAAGAGAGAGAAACATAATGTGAGCAGACGATACAGAGCTGCCAAGTACAAGAATGTGAGCAACTGCCGCCCTGGGGTGCTTTTCTCCCAGTATCTGCTGTGCATACTTGTTATCCACCTTGTCACAGTCCCACACACACACACACATTTGGCTGGAGGTGAGGAATAAAACGAGGCATCGAAACTAGTCTATTATCTATTAGCTTTAATGACGAGAGAGAGATGTTGTTTGTTGTTGGACTCCTTATTTTCCCCTCGAGTTTTCCCTGCTGCAAACTCAGGGTGCCAGGCTTCATTGTGGGAATGCAGCGTTACAGATGTTCAGTGTATTTTCAGAGGGGAAGCTTTGACAATAATGTTTAGCGAGATACAGTTAATAGGATATTACTGCACACACAAACAGCCCATTACGAGTCCTGATTGAATCATTTTTTAAATCCCTGCCAACCCCAAATGAGTACATGCTGAAATCTGTTTGCCTATATTTCTGAGGAATTGCATCATGTTAAAGGTCCCCTGTGGAGACTTTTTCTCAACAAACACTGTTCTATTTGCACTCAGTTTTCTCACCAAAACTCAGTGTGCGTCTCCTTGAGGCACTACAGACCTGTTCATGCATTTACTTTATCGTGAGGCTGGAACAAAGATACATGTAAATGTCTTAGCAGAGAAAGAGAGCAAGGTGTGAAAAAGTCACTGTGCACATTTCAACAACTTTTCCAGCGAGGAGGGTTCGAAAAAACACGTCCAAGTTCCTATAGGTAGCAAAGATAAAGCCACACAAACGCCTTCAGACACATTTCCTTTATGCTGCCAAGTACTTCAGCCTTAAAGCAGTAAAACCTTTAAAGGTCCCATGTCATGGCCATTTCTACTGATCATATTTCCATTGTTGAGGTCTACTAGAATAGATTTACATTGTGCAATTTTCCAAACTCACATTGGTTTCTCATACAGCATCTCTGTAAAGTATGTGTATTCACCAGGTATTCAATCTCTGTCCTAAACGGCTTGTTGGAGCTCCTGCCCCCCCCCCTCCCTGTGAGCCCAGTGTGCTCTGATTGGTCGGGACGTTGCAAGGCTCGTTGCTGCTCGCAGCTGCTGCGAACTGCTGCAAACTGCTGCGAGGAGCGGACAGGTTTCCGGGTCGGCAATACAGCGAAACACAGCGAAACTCATCCTGAGCACACACAAACACTCACAGCCGAAGTAAAAACAATAAGTGTGGCTTGATATTGAGTAAGAAAAAGGTTTATAACGCTGTGAGAATGGGTCTGCGGAGAGCATTTCTCCGCGATCCCAACTCGTCTATTACCAGCGTTCAGGGAGCTCTATGCAAGTCAATGGGGACTCCCTGTTAGTTAGCCAAGGGATCCTGGTGTGTGAGGTGCTCCACGGATTGGTCCATTTGGGCCAATCCGGTCATTTGTGGTTGATTTGGGTGTTCACACGTCACAGAACCCAGGAAGCAAACAATGGAAAATGAGAAATCTCCAACAAGGCATTTTGGGGCAGCATAGACAGGTCTTTTCTGTGTTAGAGTTTTACTCGCTACAGGGTGTACTTTGAGGGTTTGTGACTCTGCAGACCGTTTACATGCAGAAAAACCTTCATAACACACAAGGGGACGGGTAATAACGGGAAAAGCATGACATGGGACCTTTAAATATTATGAAACCTGCATTGTTTAAATCCATTTAGGCTTTCTTGCAGACTTCTCCTTCAGATTTTGGTTGCAGCATTTTAGGCTTCATGACAACCCTGCATTCCTCCAGGTGTTGGTTGTGCCTATTCTGGGAAGTTAAAGTAAAACAAGTTTCTGCATAATGCAATACAAAGTGGAGAGGAGAGGTCTGCAGAAGACTCCCAACAAAGCAGAACAATGTATAGTTGGTGAAAGACTGTACCATTCTACCTATCTTTTTGAAAACCTGCCACAAAATGACCAAAAGTATAAGAGGCTGGCATTTATGACAGAGCCAAGCGACACACCTAAAATCTATCCAAAAAAATCTAAACTTAATTATCCGTGCGACAGCAAGTGTCTCAGAAATACTTAATAAACAATATTAGTCATTTTAGGACCATTTTTTGCCACTGATATGATAATAAACTAGCGTAATTCTGCAAATACTGCCTTTCAAAGATCAAAACACTTTGATTCTTAAGCCTATGTAATCTTGGGCAAACATTCTCAATTCTGAGCAATGCCTTAAACGTGGGGGAAACCGCTGTTTATTCTGGCTGTATTTAAGCTAAAAATGTAAACAAACATGCATGTGCAGAACAGGCAATATCAAGGTCAGTAAAAAGGCAGCTATTGTATGATAAGTTCACAATGTAATAATTGTGACTGGACTAACCCTGAGGAATTACCTCTCTCACATGCATATGATAAAAAAGAAACTGTACTCAACACAAATCAATCACACACCCCCGATGAATATAGGAGGTTAAACAAAGTCTATCTTTATAAATATCCTGCAGCCTGCACGCGGTTGAGCACACACACATGACGTTACTGTATATTCATGTAAACAGGGAGCTGTAAAGCCTGCACAGTGGGTGACGACAGAGGCTTCTCTTCCTATAACCCCGACATCCTTGGCCGGCAGACAGGCCCCAATCGGCTTTGCTTCTTTCCATTGCAAATGAGTGCGGCAGATAGGTCTGTGGTTGAGGGCACTGAGCTAATACCTCTAATAGGAGCGCCAGCTGCCTCCTCTGACCACAGACACCACCACCACCACTGACGCTCAGGGGACGATTCTCAGCTGCCCGAGTGTTGGATAACTTGATTTCAGATAGTTTGTCTTGGAACTGAATGATACAAATTATTTATTTGTTTACTCTGCCCCCCGTCTTTGCTCACTGTAGGTGTTGAGCTCTTACTGTTACATCCCCCAAGTTCATTGTTCCTGTTTGAAGTGAAGTCTGCACACACACACAGTCCACAGCCACAAGACATGTGACCTTAGCTGCCAGAGGGAACTAGGTCGGCCCCCGTGGAGCCAACAACAAGTCCTCTCCGCAGTGTTTATATCCACAGAGGGGAAGGAGGGGTTACTACATGTGACAAGAGCTGTGTGTCATATCTGCGTCTCACTGTGGCTCCGACATCAACTTAACCACTGGCCAAAAGGGACGGCTCCGTCTCTCGCTGCCCTTATCTGTTTCCCACAGTCTATTTTTACTTTGCCAGTGTTTTTGTCTCTCTACCAGAGCTGCTGCAAGCTTTACTGGGCTACAAAAAAAACCAGGAGGCAGGAGTATGCTTCTTACATAGCCCATTTAGAATCTAAAAGCAAATTCTTACAAGAACAGTAAAAAAAAGGAAATATTTGGATCATGTTTTTTTAATGGAGATAGAAGCCAGACAGCTTTTGGTGCTGCACTAAGACTCCCAACAATCCTATTAGCTGGCCCAACAGGATCAGGCAAGGACTGGTTCCAAAATGTAAGAGTCTTGCTTAATAAACCATGAGCAAACAGGAGTGCAGTTACAGAGCTCGTTTTCCTTAAGCTGCTTCAATTGCATTTGTTTTAAAACCGCTTGTTCCCAAAAAATGAATTCTTCAAAGCAAATCTCAAAATCCCTGAATCCTCTTGACCACGCGGGACTGAGGGAAACAATACCTCGCACAGAGAAATCCAACCCTTCAGCCCAACACACAAAATACAAATCCAAGCCAGCAGAGGCTAACATGCTTCGACTGCAGTGAGTTCTCTAATAGGAACACAAAATCAGATTTCACCAAAATAAAGAAAACATGATTTTTATTACGGTCCAAGTGAAATAAAGATGAACTTAAAGCTATTAACAAGCCTGCTGAGTTGACTTGAACCATCTGTCCCAACAGATGCCAGGCTGTGCTAGGTGAGGGTTCAGCCTAAACTTAAATGCATCCTGTTAAAACCCCAAAGCTCTATTTGAGATTCAATTTAAGGTTGTTTTTTAAAGGATTAAACTATCTTAAACTTTGTTATGCAATGCTTTTATTTATTTTGTTATATTTGAGCTTTTTGAATGGCTCCTTGGCCATAACTAATTAACAGACGTACTGAGCAAGAGTATATAGATATTATTTACTAGAGAAAAACTGAAGGAAGCCAGTGGCTTCATGCTAACATTTTCATTGATTATCAGTTATTATAATTGAAATTAATAACTGCCGACTTGCTCACAAGTCATACATTACCCCAACATTTTAATTATACCACTAACAAATATTCTATTTATATTTTAATGGTCAATAATTGTTTGTCATTAGCTACACAACAACTTTTATGGTTGGTAGGCACTGTAGATACTAAATTGCACAAGTATTTAAAAAAGAAAAAATATATATGTCCCATTTGACATTAGCTTAATGGCACTAAACACAAAGTGAAGCCTAATCTGTTTGTGCATTTAACAAAAACATTGGACAAAGTGCCAAATGTTATTTTATACTACCCAATACTTTCATTCTGAACTTGAGTGGTGACGACTGACAGTTATCCCTGGACACCTACTACTAGTGCAGCTTCTATGTTTAATAAAACCTTGCTAGCCTTGAACATTAAAACAAGAGAAGGGGAATAGTAACAACTTGTCTGTTCTGTGACAGCACATAAATGTAAAGCATCAGATATTTGGCAGCTGGAAAATGTGAAAATAAATTAATTAATTAAATGAATAGTGTCTGTTAATGTCAAGAAACGAAAAGTGTGATCAATCCATTAGAGGGGCTTCAATCAGCCTGATGGGGGGGGCGAAGCCATGATGCTGAATACAACTCTCAGCCTCCTCTTCAGTATTCAGGCTGCGCCGTCACTCTCCAGGGCCACGCTCACACCGCAGGCCTCGGCTCTCAAACTGTCGCTCACACTGCGATCTGATTTCAGGATAGTGCTCCTATCTGCTGTTGGATGTAACCAACATCTGATAAAAAAAAACAAGCCAAGACTGATTTCGAAAAGGTTTCTGAGGTTGACAGCGTCAGAAGTC